GGTATTCGCTCTCGACGAGGGATTGCTGGGCAATGTGTGTTATTATTTCTCGCGGGCATCGAGGGATGCTGCAAACGTCGATGCCGTTGCGACTTTCAGCAGACTCACGTCAACACCCATAAACTCAGTATTTGGCTCGCTCGAATGACGTGATGCCTTCAGATTCGCTCATATTAGATGCAATCATTGATATATGATGCTCCATTCTTTCGTATTTTTCATGATAACAGTACAGTTCAGGCTAGCTCATATGATAATTCTGTCGGTTGTGATACAACAGAGCAACGCAATGGCAGAAATGTTATCATTAGAACAGCGCATAGGCAGAAGTGAAATCGCATCGCAATGTCAAATTCCTTTGCCCGAGGGTTAATTCTATGTATCGGATCGGAGTCCGTCCTGGTAAAAGCAAGCGCAGTACTCGCTTTGGATGGCATTGCAAAACCTCGCGAAAAACGTCAAGTTCATTCCGGTTTCGACCATTTTTGTTCACAACCATCGAGGAGGGATAAAGTTTGGTGACAATCGTCGAGGTTTGGAAAAAGCACGATGTAATAACTCTCGAAATTGCAGAGAATTCAACGCCACCAACCTGTAAAGATGGATAGAGATCATCCACTCGTTTTTGTTCCAGTGCTCGTGGTTCATTTCAGGGATCGTTCTCCAATGCACTGTAAACAGGTTGATGGGGACCTTGAGCTGGTACAGCAGTAACACGATCGAATTCGCAGCAAAACCTAGCAAGGACAAATTGATTGCGCTTTACAGGTGCAACATGTCCTGTGCACTCTGGCATGTCCAGAAACCACTGTTCAATGTCAGCTCACTTTAGCCCAAATCCGGTCTCAAACGAACGATTGTTTCAACTCTGTAGCGCAGGGGTGTGCATCATCCACCGCAGCGCAACGAAAGTCGGAAGAACTTAGTCGAGATTATCATGGCTTGCATTGGTGCAAGTGTGCAGAGAGAGTGTTTGGTGTTCATGGAGGATGAGCTCGGATCCCCGTCGAATGCGAACGCATCAAGGTCACATTATTTTATGTTTTTAGCCAATCACGCGCGACGAGATTTTCGATGGGATGGAAGCGGCGACCTGGCGAAGGACGATCGAGGAAACTGGAGAGGTGAACCAAAATGCGACGCCGCGCCTTGCTAATGTGGCGCCGTAGGTTCAAAGATCAGCTTGCATGGAAGGACGAGATATCGTCAGCATTAGCTGACATTCACAAGGAGCAGTGTCGTGCAGCCCCCGCTGCATCGACTCACTTGCAATTGCACCGCCGGCCTCTGCAGCTCTTGCCGAGGTCTACTCCATCAGAAGCAGTCACCGCTAAGCACTCTGGTTCCGTTTGTCTAAGTAACGAAGAGATTCGCCATATCTTTGCGGCCGAGCATCGCAACGTTCTCATGTTCAAACCGTCAACCCTCGTCGATCGGTACACGTAACCACACAGCGTCCTCGGGCATCGATTCATCCTCATCGTTAGATGCTTGCACGTCATCGCGAAGTATTTCGATCGGTACCCTGCCGACGACGACTACGTCGTGGAGGCCATGCATCATGGCATGTCTCCTGATCTCCACCATCGGTTGTCGATTTTGAGCACGTGGTATGAAACCATGACCGCCGACAACGCGGCGTTCGTGTGCATTCCCACGACTCAATCATTGTGTCTCGGCCAGTTGAACGTTGACGCGTTTGTCTTGCCTCTGATAACTCCTCAAGTGTCGACGGCGAGGGCGGACTCTGTCAGTAGCGATGCCGAATCGTGGGAAGACTTGCCAGACATTTTGATGACCTGGACTGGATGTCCTCACCTCGAAGAGCTCGAGTTAGTGGCGTGCTATGAGATATCCATCGCATGCCTCGAGTACGGAATCGCATGTTTCGCGTGGCTAACACTGGCCCAGGGAATGTACGAACTTGACCAAGTTGTCCCTTGTGGACTGCTCGGCCTTCAATGCTGTCGACACCGACCTACTCATGCACTTGCCTCGAAGACTGCAGAGTCTCAGCCTCGTCGGGTGCACGTGGCTCTCGAACAAGATGCTGATGGCGCTGCTGCGCGTGGCCAGTGCGACAATGCTCTCACTGCGATATGTTCGCGTGTGGGGGTGCTGCCGTGTCTCTCTCGTGGTCGAGCAAGCCTGGGCGGCAGATTTGCCTCAAGTTCACCTCGATGTGAAGCAGCCACCGCACACATAAGCCACTATCCATTGAATGCATGCCTCATGATGAATCTACAAGAACAAGCAAACAAGCGCTAACGTCAAGTGCTGTGGTTACTATTGCTGTGAGCTTGTGGGAACCCGAGGACGAAGGGAAACCCCGTGCGAGGATGCTGACCAGCACTGGCCGAACAGGGATCATCGAACCATGCAGGAAAACGTCAAGGGCGCGGCGCCATGTCGATCACACCTCCATTGCCCACAGATTCAAATCGTGACGATGACATACGCATAATTCAAATCGTATCCGTATATTCACATCGCCGTGCAAGTATATTTTGTTGGCGATTGCATTGTGATGGAGGCTCAAGGTGCCGCCGCATTGCAAGTCCTGCGCATGACGGACTTGGTTGTCCTGATTTGCGATTTCCAGCAGGGAAAGTACCCGCATCTCGGCCCTCTTCTGTCGTGCTGCATCGACCCTCAAACGTTCAAGGTGGACGATTGGTATTACGTGAAGCATATGGGATCGGAGCCGCTCCGCCGATTCGACGAAGTCTTTCAAGCAGGGTTTGCGATCTACGGTCATGCGGGACTGCGACGCCTGTTGTCCCAGGAAAAGAGGTCCATGTCCATCATCCTGTCAGCTTATGCGGCGTTTTCTGGCAATGTCGACCTCCTCATGTATTTGTGCGACCGCGAGTTGGTGTACTCGAATCGATTTGTCGTCGACACGGCGGCGTTGCAAGGGCATTTGAACATCTTACGATGTCTGCACGAACGCAATCTATGTGGATTCACATCGCGTACCATGGACGCCGCTGCACACAACGGCCATCTCGACATCATTCGCTTTCTTCATACGACGCGAATGGAAGGTGCTTCGAAGAACGCCATGACCTGGGCTGCGCGCAATGGTCATTTGGAAGTTGTTCAATTTCTGCATGCGTATCGCCGTGAAGGGTGCAGCGTTGGTGCAATGGACTGGTCCGCAACGTATGGGCACTTGGACGTTGTCGAATTTTTGCATGTTCATCGGTTAGAAGGCGGGACGGTCGAAGCCATGGACGGCGCCGCAGCCCATGGCCACTTGCACGTGGTCAAGTTCTTGCACGCCCATCGCCGCGCGGACGGCATGACGGCGCAGGCAATGAACGGCGCATCAGCCAATGGCCACCTCGAAGTCGTGGAGTTTCTCCATCACGTCGCCAACGCCCCTTGTACGACCGCCGCGATGGACAATGCTGCTGCTTATGGACATTTGAAGGTTGTGCAGTTCCTCCACGCCCATCGGCGCGAAGGATGCACCACTCGTGCAATGGACGACGCTGCACGAAACGGACACTTGGAAGTAGTCCAGTTTTTGCACTTGCATCGAACAGAAGGCGCGACGACAGCGGCCATCAACAGAGCAGCGCAGAATGGTCACTTGGCTGTTGTCAAGTACCTCCATACAAGTCGAAACGAAGGATGGACCAACGAAGCGTTCGAGCACCGCGAGGAAGTGAACCGTCATGTCGATGTCGTCGCCTATTTAAACAGCGCCCCCCGTCGGGAGGATTAAGTTGGAAGAATTGAGTTATCCTTAAATCCTGCTGTCGCCTTGGTGTCACAACAGACACAAGCGATGAAGATTACTATGAACAGAGCGATCTACTTTATCGAACACTGTACGAAAACGCACGAGGTCCTGCATTCACACAACGCCACCTGAATTGTGGCAAGCTGTGCCCACCCATGTAGCCATGCTTCAAGTGACACTGCGCTTGTATATTTCAATGGATATGACTCGTCTGTGATAATCACGTCGGGTTCATTGACGCAGCTTCAGGGAGTCTCCGCGTCAGATAAAGAGGTGCCGGGGCTTTGTCAAAGAGCAAGCCGTGCCTTTTGACTCACTACGGATGAAGGTCGTGTTGCGCCACCGCAGCGCGATATCCAACCGTGTCCAACTGCACCCAGCGTATCTCTACTACTATAGTAGTTCATCGTAGACATTGGTTCAAGCATAGCCTGATAACTACAGTACCAGACCTCTTTTTCGCGTTGAAAAAGTTTGGTCATACTGGGGCTCGAACTCAGGACCCTGGCGTTATTACAGTCTGATGCGAAAAGTTAGGACATACCACGTTTCGTTGCAGAACTCATGATTTATTCGGAGTTATAAACTCCTGAAAGTATCGTTTTATTCGTGCTACAATCAGGAATGTTTCAAACCCAATTGTGTAGAATTCCGCATACAGATTCAGAAGAAAATGCAAAAATACTTGTTTTGAGCATGTGCAAAACAATAGGCCACATTTGAAAATTCCCGCCCATCATCGATTTCAAGGGCTCCACGTACATTCTCTAGACTTCATTTAACAAGTGACAGCCTCGGGAGCTGATCTACACAGCCGCATGGGACGCTCGTCTCAGCTCACAGAGTTCGAGCGTGGCCAAATTGATGTGTGCGTCGATCTTGGGCTCAGCCTGAACCAGACTGCCCAGTTCGTGAAACGGAGCCGCCACGCTATGCAAAACTACCTTGCGGACCCCATGTCGTACGGCCAACGCTTCAGAGGAGGCCGCCCTTCAAAGTTGAGCCAAAGAGACGAGCGCCGAATTTTTCTTGTCATGGCAAAAGATCCTAAAAGTTGCGCAAAAGTTAAGCATGACCTTGAACTCCACGTTCACCGTACGACCATATTAAGGCTAATGAACTCGTCAAAAAAGTTCGACTACATCAAGATGAACAAAAAGCCCAAAGTCACAGAAACGCACATGGAGAACCGTTGTCGTTGGACCGAAAAGCACGTAGACTTGGGGTGGCAAGGGTGGGCCGAAATTTTGTTTTCCGATGAAAAAAAGTGGAACCTGGATGGCTCCGACGGCCTAAAGTACTATTGGCACTGCGTTGGGCGCGAAAGAAGACTGTATTTAGCCGACAAAATGGTGGGGGCTCTGTGATGGTCTGGGGTGGAATCTGGGCGGACGGCAACAGCGAGCCTGCCTTTCTCGAGGGGCGCCAGAATTCCGGCGACTACATCGATACACTGTCCAACTACATGCTTCCATCGGCTCACGAGCGTTTTGGCTACGACTTCGTTTTTCAGCATGACAATGCTTCGATTCACGCGTCGAAAAACAAAGGCGTTTCTTGTCGACAACGACATCTGGGTCTTGGACTGGCCTGCACTGTCCCCAGACCTCAACCCCATTGAGAATGTCTGGGGATACCTTGTCCAGAAGGTGTATGCGAATGGGAAACAATACAACTCAACGCATGAGTTAAAAGAAGCAATTTTGTTTCATTGGAACTCTTTGTCACCTTGCTACCTCGAAGGGCTCGTTCGAAGCATGAAAACCCGCTGCATTGGTGTTTTGAAGTCCTCAGGAAAGCCCATTAA